GTCCTCCAGTTTGGATAATCTATCCTTAGTTTCTTTCAAGCAGATTTGCCACCTTTCCATAGAATTTTTAATTTCCTGGTAATTTCTTTGAATCTACTTCATGTATTCTGTATTTTCTTTATATCCTTCATCAAATGGTCCTCTCCTTTGTTTGAGTTCCTCCCTTCTTCCATCTGTGTCTTCTTGAGGGGTACTTAGCATCTCTTTTATTAATCTTCTTATATCTTGCTTTACTTGGCTAACTATTTCACTTTTGAACTCATTTATGAGGTCCTGAAGATATCTCTTTATGTTCAATGGTGCCATGTCTGATATTGCATGTTTGCTGTTCTCATTCTCCTTTGTAGTTATCTGTCCTGGGTCAATGTTCTCAGGATTGGGACATGGGGACTTTTTGTTGTTGCTTCCTCTTCCTATCTTTTTTCTTCCATTAGGCCCCACATTCTTTCTTTGTTGGTTACAATTCTTTTGAAGCAGGCTGGCTAGAGGACCCTTCCCACTGCAGTGTGCTAGTGAGTTGCAAACAGGGGCAGCATATGCTGGCCCCTCCCCTCTGGATCAGTCAAGCTGCTGTGGCCTGCACTGTATTACTGTGCCCCCCTTCCCCTCTGGGTCAGTCAAACTTCTGAGGCGTCATTGCATTAGTGTGCACTGCTGCTGTAGCAAATTGATTTTGGATAACCTATTAGGTCTCAGCCAGGTCACATGATCCAGGCCTGGGTCACTCCACCAATCCTGTTCAAGAAGGGAACAACTGACTGAAGTTACTGCTGCCCTTGTACTTGCCAGTCCTGCTGGCCCTAGAATTTCATCTGCTGGAGCCCCCATTTCTGTGGAATGTTTCCACTCCCATCACTCACCACAGGTCGATGCAGGTTCCCCACCAACTCAGTTCTCCCTTTGGCTGGCTGACCCCTGACCTCAGTATGACTGCACCTCCAGCGAGTTGAAGCGGTGGGACCACGGACAGCTCGGCAAGTTGCCTGCTGCGGCAGGAGCACTGAGCCTTTAGCTGTTCCAATAATAGCACCAGGACTGTATGTTTGATTGGTTCACCTTAGTTTCTTGTTGGGATGAGAGAATTCATCTCCCTCTGTTTGGGATTCCCCATGCTATGTTATGTTGAATTCTAAGTTGACTATCTCAAGGAGTCTCTGTAGCCAGCTGTTATCTATCTGGCATCTTTGCTCAAATCCCCTTGTAGTTTTATTATTTATTTATTTAATTTTAAATTTTAAAGACAGCAAAACAGAACAAAGCAGAACAGAACAAAGCAGATCAGAACAAAACCATGCAAGTGACACAGGATTTCAAAGTAAGACAACAGGAGATCAACAGTGGCTACCATAATGTCTCCTGTAATAGCTTTAAATTTATAAATCTGGCAGCTCTGTGGAACTTGGACTAAGAGAGGTCAGGGTAGTTGTTACATAAGGACACATAAGAAAAACTCTCTATTTGAGAGTGTGTTATGGTTTATGTATCAAATGTGCCCCCCAAATCTCATGCAATCATGCACGCATTTGAGTCTAGCATTTGTGACTGGTTCATTGTCTAGAACTTGGATATGTGGTATGATTGAGAGCCCCACCCAGGGGTGGAGCCACTGTATAGTGCAAGGGAGGGAAAAAGGTGTGTGTCTCTCTCTTTTGCTTGTCTGGGCTTGCTGTTTGCAGTTACCATGAACAGCAGCCCAGCCACACCATCCGTCCTTGGAGCCAGCTGAGTATGCTCTGAAATCTCCAAAACTATAAGAAATAAATGTTTCTTTCTCCAATTTTGAGTGTCAAATAGTTTGTCTCAACAATGAGAGAGAAAAGTAACTAAGTCAGTGTGTGTGTGTGTGTGTGTGTGTGTGTTTAAAGGAGGGGAAAGCAATTATTATTTTAAAGTGCTTGTGTGCTTGTTGAGCTCACTGGACTATTAATCTTCTTTCTGGGTAAGTATACTTACTGTATACTTATTCTGGGTATAACACTATTCCTATGACTTTGGCTGTATCACGTGCCTTAATAACCACCAGGGTGATACGGAAGTTTTCTGATTGCTTATACAATAATGATAAGGTTTCTTTACAACCTTATATCAATGAAAGGGGACAACCTAGGGAGGACTTTGAGTGGAGATAATTTAGGATTCATAGAGCTCTTATTAAAGATTGGGTTGCTAAAAGATTGTAAGCAAACCAATCTTTTACAGGGTGACCTCCAAGGACTAGTTGGCCTCACCGCTCTTGTTTATCTGTGTGTGAAGTAAAGGTGTCCTCCACTCCCAGCTAAAGCAGAATCTCCAGTATGTACTCTGCACATTCCATTTCCACACCTTCATTTGCTTATGCTGCTTTCCCCTGGATTCTCTCAGCTTCTTAGAGTTCCACATGGAAATCCTAGCCATTTTTCAAGAATCAGCCCCAATACCATTTTCTCCATGAAGCCTTCCTAATACTCCTGACAGGATATAATCTCTCCCTATCCTGAATCCTGATGCCATTTGCCTGTCATTTTTCTTCATTCCCTTATTTACTGGACCTATTTGGAGTCATTAGTGCACCTCCTTGTATCAGTCAACTTTCTGACTATAACAAATACTCAGGATAATCAATTTATTAAAATGTTTTATTTTGGCTCACAATTTAGTAGTTTCCAATCTGTGATTCGCTGGCCTGCCTGTACATCATAGTAGGAATGTGTGCTGGGATAAAATTGCTCACAGCTTGAGCCAGAGGATGAAGAGAAACAGGAAAGGACTAGGAATTCACAGTCCACTTCCAGGGCGTAGTCCCAAAGACCCAAGGACCTTCAACCAGCACCTACCCACCAGAGTGACAACCTTTTAATACATGAACCTTTCAGGGTCATTCAATGTCCAAATGACAGGACTCTTTGAGAACAGGACTTAGCTTTTACACTTACACAGACCTGATGCAGTCAGAGGTCAACATGAGCACCACTTTCCTATATAAGGTGAGATTCTAGACAAATAGTGTAAGTTCTGCATTTTAAGGGACACAAAGCAAATGGTAGTATATTTAGAGCTAGTTCTAGGAAGCTAGGCTGTCATGAGGTTCTGTTGTGTTGCATGATAAGTGCTAACATATTTCAATTGTGTTTCTTTTAAAAATAGCATGGACCACTCTGACAAGAGATGAACTAGATAACACCTTTGATTAAGATTTAAATCTTGGAGATAGGATGGTCTAGTGGGTGAAGGGCCTTTGACCATATGCATGTACATCTTTGACCATAGGCATGTACATCTCATCCAGCTTTTTTTATATCACTGACAAAGTGGATAAATACTATCCACCTCACAAGGTACTTCTCAGAATTAAATTAAAGTACCTAACACAGTCGCAGGACATAACAATATCCTCAATATGTGAATTTCTTTCTCCTTTCCTTCCTTCAAAAAATTGAACAGTCTTCCAGAAAATATTTAGGTAGACAGACAGCAGGACAAACAAATCCCTTTCCCAAAATGAACTGTACATCCTGTAGAGGTTGACAGCATGCATTCCTCAATGAATAAACATAGCCCATGATTAAAGTATTTACTATGGACTAGAAACATCAGCATCAGCATCATCATCATCCCCCAGGATCAGAACTTGCATTTTAACAAGGTCCCACAATCAAGCATATCTGAATTAGACTTTACGAAGCACAGATGTAGGTTTACCTTACAGAAAAAAGCAGATTGTCATGTCAACAGACTATGATCTGGTTTGTCCTAAAGTACATCTTAATTAATTAACCTGGATTTTGCACTTATGATTAAATAGCACTAGTGACAATTACATGTTGGTTTGCAATATTTTAGTGAATTTACCAACAGAAAAAAAATGAAATTCAACTTTTGATAATTCTCTATAGGACATGAACACAGTATCAACTAACTCTTTCCCTAAACACTGGCATGGGATGAGCAGTTTGTTTATGTATGCAGATGTACTATTTAAAATAAAAACATGCATCCTCATTTGCTTCTTTCAAAAAAAGTTCTTTTTTTGGAATTTAAAAGAGAATAAAACAAAACAAAACAATGAGAATGATATTGGATTTCAAAAAAACAAGACAGTAGGTAATCAACCACAGTTACTGTAATGCACATTTTATCCTCTAAATTGATGCTCATATCAACAGATACAGGCATGCAAAGTCAATCAAACAGCACAAGCACTAAGTTTTCTCTTTACTTCAGTTGCCATCATCTCAGATTTCAAGCGTGTGGCTTCTAAATTCCTCTATGTCTATGTCTCCTCCACTTGTTCTGGGTGATATATAGGCATGCAAAATTAAACAATATAAGCACTAATTTGTCTCTTTACTTCAGTTGCTTTCATTTCACAACTTTCAGGAGTGTGACTACTATTTTCTTTTATGTCTACATCTTCTGGACTTGTTCTAGGTGGGAAGTGTGGCTGGAAGTCTGAGATTGCACTCTGCTCCTTTATCTTGACATTTTCCTGTGTTCCTCCAAATCAGCTAGTTTCTGAGTCTCATGTGTTTCCTGTATTGGCTGCCCATCCAGTGGTGCAGTGAATTGGACTAGGCATTTGGGTTCCTCTGATCCAAGGTTCCTGGGGTGGCAGAGAGGTGCCAGTCAGCTGCCCATCATGTTCCCTCTATGGTGGTAGGACACAGGGAGCACAGCTGCCTCTCCTCTGGCCTGCAATGGTTGGCCCACCACAGGGTGTGGCCTCCTTTCTTCTGGGCAGCCACAAACTCACCAGGGGGCATGGCTTCCTTCTTCTTTGATCTTGTGGTGCAGGCCCACTGCAGGGCGTGGCTTCTACTCTGGGCCAGTAGCAGCTGGTTCACTGGGGCTCATGGGCTTTTCTCCTCTGGCCCTGGTGTGCTTGGCTTATGGTGGTGGGGGTGTGGGAGTGTGGGAGTGTGTGTAGCTGCCTCTCCTTCAGGTCCACAGTGGTGGGCTCATGGTGGGGGCGTGGGTCTCTCTTTTTAGGTCTGTAGCAGTGGCAGTGGGCTTACCTGGGGGTGAGTTGTTTCTCTAATGAACTACCATTACATTTCTAAAGTTCTGAAATGGCCAACAGACCATAGAAAAATACCACTTTAGACTTCCAATTGAAACCAACAGCTTCAAAAAACTGCCAGCCTTGATTCAGGGCCATAAAAAACCAGTTTTAAACTATGTTTTAAATGCATTTGTTTGGTTTTTAAAGTTTATATATGTGTTATTGTACATAAATTCTGAGATTTTTAAATGAGTAACTCCTCGCATGTACTAAAAAACCTTTCCCAGCTCATGGTAGGAACATAATAGTTCACCTGCTGGGACTAATTTCTAGAGAGGTAGAAGTGCCTGGCAACACTGTCTTTTAGCCAAGCAAATTGTATAGCTTCCATTATTAGAAGGGAATTTTATGAGCTAATAGTTTTCCTTTGCCATTCAGTATATCAAGCTACTTTCAGTCCCAACCAGAACATAAAATACTTATGCAAATATTAGGAGTCCCAGCACTACTTTACCATTATACAAAACCTGTTCTCCATGCCCCCCTTTGCAGACTTACTGTGTAGCCTTCCATTTATCTACCTGTCTCCCTGTCTGTCTACCCACTGTTAGTACTGGGATCAAAGCCAGGGCCTTGCTAGACAAGCACTCTACCAATCAACTATGATTTTAATTTACTTTATGACTGACTTAATCTTTATGCATTTTAATTCTGGGAAGAAGCCAGAAGCAGTGGCATGCACCTGCTTTCCTACCTACTCAGGAAGCAGGGACAGTAGAATCATTTGAGTCCAAGAGTTTGTGGCCAGACTGGGTAACATAAAGACCACATCTCAAATAAAACAACAACAACAAAACACTCCAAACAAATCAGTCCTGAGTGATATAAAATATAAAAAATTAGGAGAAATTTAGAAAACTATGACTTTTAAAAATGAGACTGGTTTCAGTTATTAAGCTGAGCAATCAGTTGTCTTCTTATTTTTTGTCAACCAAAGAACTGGTTGAATTAGGTATTAGAGTCAGACATTGGTCAACAGTCAGACATTTAGGAAATAGTCACAGATGCTAAAGAGTTTAATTGCTGTATTAGTTGGGGTTCTGCAAAGAAATAGAACCCATAGAATTTAGATAGTTAGCAGATATATACATATATATACATATTTATATATATCTTATATGAATCAGCTCATACAATTATAAAGACCAAGAAATTCTACAAATATGCTATGTGCAAGCCAGAGAAACAGGGAAGCCACTGGTGTGCTTTAGTTGGAGTACAGACCATGTCCCATAGTATTATTCCTTTTGTTCAAAACTGAAGACACAAATGTCTTAAGTCTAATAAGCATCCATGTGAAGCTAAATATTTGTCCACTTATAGCATATCTAATGATTTTCATGTTTAGTTCAATTAAAGTTGCGAAGAAGTTTCTTGTCATTATCATTTTTGTTTCTCTGAACTTCCTCATGTTATTTTGCAGTGAAAGCTGGAACAATAGGTCTTACACGACACACTCTACACTGAGCCCCACTCCCAGCTCCCCATTAACTTTTGTAAAGTAAATGCAGTAAAATATTCCAACATATGCCCAGTGACACTGACAAAACATACAGTTAGAACATTTTGAAACCATTGTTTGGCAAACAGTACCACTGTGCAATAGATGAAAATGGTAATTTGTCAGCCTAATTTGGTATATGAAAAGTGAATTAGGGCTGTTGATGAATAGAATACAAAAAGATATGGTATTATTATGCTGGGTGTGGTGGAACTAACCTGTAATTCTAGTACTCTGGGACGATAAGACAGGAGGCTTGCAAGTTGAGCCCACTTTGGGTAACTTAGAGACTTAGGAAGATCCTGGCTCAAAGTAAAAAATAAAAACACTCTGGAGGCAGAGCTCAGTGCAAAGATCCTGGGTTCAGTCTCCATTACAGGAAAATATAAGTTCTAAAGTCAAGTGTGTGTGTGTTAAATGGCCACCCATGCGAGAACTTTGAACCTTTCTCTTGAGCTCTAGTGCATGTGCTCAGCTATCTAGTAGAAATCTGGTTTCCTCAGTAGTCATCTATGACATAAGTCAAAACCAACCGCATTTTCTCTCACGTGCTCCTGACAACTTGTTTCTTCTCACAGGTTCTGTAAATCTGATGATGGCTGCAATATCCACTCAAGCACCCGTGTCAGAAACTGGCACATCACTGGAAAATCCCCCAAAGTGCATCTATATATTTCCCAGTTGGAATATTTAGCTTGCAGTTTTACAGTTGCCTATGCTATTTAATTTTCTGTCTCTTTCACTATTGTTTGAGGGACTTGAAGGCAGGGACTTTGCCTTATTCTACACTTAATTTCCAGCACCTATCATAGTGCTTAGGACTTGATGAATTGAAAAGAGATTGCAGCATTGTAAAAGTGTCAAAACCAGTTCTTTTGATCAATTAAGTAGAAAAATAAATTAACAGTTTCTAATATCAAGCAGACAAATTAACTATGTGATGAGGTCTTTCACCTGTTGTCATTTGTGAGTACCAGTATGAAAACTTATCTTTACTTGCTCTAATAACAGCACAGTAACTACCTCAGTGAAACTATTCAAGGAAAGGGAGTGAGAAGTAATTGCCAATGTCTCAGCCTTTTCAGAAGTAACTTGGAATCCATTGAGGTCAACATGCATTTATGGCATCGAATCCCCATCATTCTCCTAGGCTTGGGGGTGGGGATGGAAAGGAAACATGCAAACCATGGCTTTTTTTCAGTAACTGAACTATGTTATCAGATTTGGCAGACCTCATATGTGTAAAACATTTAGTTCCCTACAGAAGAGAAATCAATGCAAAATCAGTCCAGATACACCAAAATTGTATCTTCCTGAAGTATTATAGTCCACATAGTAGCCGTGAATGTCCCTAGGTAATAATATTCTTTCAGTGTGCCCAGGACAGGCAGCTGCGTGTACAAACCCATCACAACAAAGATAAATAAAATAACAGTATTATTCTGTAACTAAAAAGATCTCAATCAAAGTAAATCAATTTCTCCTGACAATTTTCAACACTATTCAATTTCAAGTTCTATTGTGGCCATATATAACCCACACAACGAGGCAACTTTGTTTGGGTTATACGGGTATGTGATTGAAAAACACAATTGGAAAGCCCAGCCTAGCCAAATTAAATCACTCAGCCAAAAAGTGGTCAAGGGTAAGACGTGTTGGTGAACTATAGCAAACCCCCATCACCATAATGCTAGGTTGTCTCCATCCTCTTTTCATGCTAACAATGATTTAGGAAGCTGCCTTTTTCTTCTTTGAATAAACAATTACGTGCAGTGTTACTAGCTCTGACTGTCAGTGGGTGACTTTGATTTTTGGATTTGACAATCTTGGCAGTGTCTGCACAGAACTATAGGACTCAGTGGAAATAGGATTTCGTATATAAGGGGTGATTGAAAATTATGGAGAATATTTAAATTAAAAAATGTATTACTGTAAAAAAACATTGCCAAAGACAGTGTGATAAGTGTGTTCAAAGCGATGGAGAGGATTTGGAAGAGGATTAATGGCAGAATAGTAAAACGCAAGGGTGACCTCAGCTTTGCCCTGACTTTGAGGCAGAGTAAGCCATAAAGACCACTTCAAATCAGGGGCTAATTGGAAATGCCATGCTTGGTATGTAGCTCAAGCTGGACCTGTGCTGCCCAATTCAGTGGTCACTAGTCACACACTAGCCAATAAACCAGCTCTTTCAGTCAATTCAGTAAAAAAAATCAGCCAACATTCTTACTGCTAGGTAGACAATTTGGTGCCTGAGCATTGAAAATGCAATTAGTTGGAATTTAAATGTGTTATATTATAAGGGTGAGAGACACCCTTGATTGTGAAGACCTAGTATAAAAATGATGTAAATTATTTAAATAATATATATTGATCTTATGATTAAATGATGATAATTTGGATAAAGAAAATATATTGTTAAAGTTAATTCATTTGTCCCTTTTTCTTCCACTGCTGGGAACAAAATGCAGAACCTCATTCATGCTAGGTGAGTGCTCTATCACTGGGCTATACCCCCAGCCCACTTTTTACCTCTTTTTAGTGGGGCTACTGGAAAAATGAAAATTATATGTGTGACCTACATTTTATTTCTATTGGCAGCAGCTGATCTAGAGTCTTGCAATACAAAAAGTGTGAACTAAAACTTAGGAATCGGGTTACCTTTCTGTTGTCAAATATTTCAACCTTCACGTCATTGTCCATTTATTTCTGATAACAGGGACCTGTGTCAGTGGTTGTTGCCACCTGATTTGCCTGCCACGGAGAATTGAAAACTGCAGGGTCTCTTCTTGTTCCAGAACACTGAGGCTTGAGTGATTTTTTTCCTTTGCTGGTGGAAAATGCTGTGTTGCCATATGCTGCTTTCAGGAGGTGAAAAAACTTTCAGTTCATCCTCAGATGCCCAAATAACCCCCCCCGCAACAAAAATATTGCAATAATAAAGCATTTGTGTCAACCAAAAAGTATCCCAAAATCTTTTGCGCCTGTAGGGAGACCTGCTGCCAATAAGGCATTAAATCTGAGGAAACATTTCTGCAATTACTGATCAAATACAATACAGCTAAATTTCACCTCCAGCATATCATTTTGATAATGGGTATGGAAATTATCCATTCAATAGCTATTCAAAAATAACTCAGGAAGATTGGCTACTAGATACTTCACAGACCTTTAGAATAATCCTTTCTAATCAGGCTGATGGGAATTCAATAGGCAACATTCATTTTGGACAAAATAACCTTTTGGGGGGTTGCAGGACTGCAAGCTTGCTCCTTCTGCTACTCGCTGTTCCAGAGGTGAAAGCACAAACATGCCAAAAGGCAGGGACTGTTTCCCTGTGCGTGGGGCTGCTGCCCAATACCCACCAAGGCTCAGTGCAGACAGCTGTGCCTCCAAGTTAAGTGAGGCGCCTTAATACTTATCAATCAGGAATCAGCAGGGCTTCTAGAGTTGTCCTCATTAAATTTAAAGTATATTCTCTCCCCAGCAGCAAACGTCTCCATTGCCATCCATTTCTGCACAGCCAATTTTAGGTAATCAAAGAGTGTTGGTTTCATCACTGTCTCCGAACACATTTGCAGCTTGACACAGCTCTTCC